ATATATATATATATATATATATATATATATATATATATATATGTGAATTAAAAATTATACTATATATGTATATTTACTAAATTATACTATCATTTATTAAATGATGACAGACAAAGCAAAACCCCAGTAAAAGAGATTCATCTGCAAGGTAAATTAATTCTGTGACTTATATACAGGCTTATGAATATTTACATATTTAATTGCTCATATTGTAATTGAAGATATGTCATAGCAAAAATATGAATGCAAATTCAGTGATTTCACTCAATTAACCTGTAGGTTTTAATGAAAAGCTGAAATGTGCATCTAATTAATGGAAATACTGAATAATAACCCCATTAACTACAATAAGTATTACATTTGTAAATAATAATAACTGGCTTTCTGTGCCAATTCAAAGGGGCCCATCTTTTTATTTCAAAACGAAAACTATAATTTTTAATCCAAAAATCTAAAAACGTGAGACCACAAATCTCCCATTAACAAATAGACACAAAAAAACAACATATGTCATAGATCAATTTTCCACACAAAATTAGATCAGTTAACCACAAAATTGTTTTGTACGACTACATTTCACAAATTTGGACATTTCTGATGAAATGACAGTTAAAAACTGCATAGCCATTCATCAAAAGCACTGAGATGAGATTCTGTGCCGTCTATGGTCAAGAGAAAAAAAATTAAGGTGGGGGAGTCATCTTATTTTAAATATTATGTTACAAATTGTGTTTAAAAAACTTTTTGATTAAATAAAAAAGAAAAGAAAAAAACATGGAAACCACAGGAAAACATGCACAGCTTTGGTAACATTTCCTTACTAGAACAGGTATAAAAAGAAAATAACACCCACAGAAACACCTACACACACACACACACACACACACACACACACACGCACGCACAGACTACACACTGATCACCTTTAAGCAAATTAGCTGCATCATATCATCTTCTTCTGCGCTCGCAGCCTCTCAGTTTGAACTTGTGTTTTATCAAATTAGATTTCAGCGCCACGACGCAGCGGCTGAGAGACTGTGCGATCATAATAGCTAGTCAGTGGATTGCACATCGTAGTGAAAGTCACTTAACCAGACTGCAGGAAAATGATGGGTTTGAATTTGCATACTTCCCTTTTACTCTCGTTGTGTGCCATCCTCGAATTAGCATGGGTAATGTGTAACTGCACATTAGCATAGCATGTGTAATGGCATATTAGTTTTAAATTAAATTCCAAAAAAAAAAAAAAAATGCAGTAGAGATGCGAATACGAGAAGGGCGAAGGCAATAAATAAATCAACAGAAAGTAGATATTTATGCAGCCTGCCACAGCTTACTGCTGCATGGACATTAGCATTATCTGCATAGAGTAAAAACAAAGTGCTAATATATATATCATTTATAAATGTTCTAGGTTTATAAATATTTGACTTCAATTTTTTATACCCTCAGAAGGGCTATAAAAGATTACAAATTGATAGTTATGTCCTCTTATTGCTGTCATTATGAAGAAGTTTCAACACCATTACATCTCAGAAGGCATGCAATTTACCAGTATCCAATAACAAAAGACCTCTAAGGGATCTGTGGCACTTCAACATGCTCTGCCTTGATCGTGGCTGCCCTAGAGCACTTTTGAAGTCTGGAGATCGCTGATGAGACCATATTCCAATATCCCATCATTCTCTACTACAGCAATTTCTCACTTTCACAGATATGGACATGGAATGGAAAAAAAGGGGGAAGACACTGGGAGCAACAGTCTATGGAAGATAATCTTTATCTTCAGTTGTTGTTTGCGGGTCCTCGTCTCATATCTTTTCTTTACGTGGTTCCCTATCTGGTCATTATGCAGAAGAATCAATACCAATATTTAGCATTTTACATCATTGAAATGCTCAAGAACAGTTCATGGTTTAAGAGTAAATTAAGAATATTTACAGCCTTTAAGTTTATATCCATTAGTTAACTGTATTTTGTAGTAATAATAATAAAAACACTCAATCACTCAATCAATCAATCAATTTATTTAACTGAAATATAATGCAAGGTTTTAAGAACAGTTCTTT